AACTACTATAGTAGATGGAGATGCATTATGGGACGACACAAATTGCGCTGCCGCTGCCCATTGCGTTGCACAATACAAACAAGTGCTCGGTACCGTACCTTGTTGTATTCGGATCGCTCAAACTTTACAAAACGTATTGTTATATCACGCAGAACGTATGTATCTCCTTATTCGGTGGGCACCAAGGCCGTAGCCATGGAGTCAACATTGGGGGGGACCAAATCTTCCTGGGGGTCTGGAGGTCCCAGGTCAGAAAAATATCTAAATTTGAAAACTCATTGTCCTGCCATTTCTTACCTAAAATATTAAAAAATTCACTTACATTGGTTTGTTTTTACTTTTTTACCATTTCTTGTTTCATTGTGTGTAATGTTTGAGATTAGGGGTTAATACAAGTACAACCATAACCACAATCATATAAACAGAAATCTATGCATTGATTTATATGAAGACAAGTCCAGATATTGTGGCCAAGGTTTAGCAAATTGTTGTTCTTATTTACATATCAAAGCAATTATCATTACTTTTTATATTTTTATAGCAATATATGGGGGGGGGGGGGGAGACATTTTGAGCATATTTGAATATTATAATTACGGCCTTGGTGGGCACCACAGTGAACAGATAAGACGAGTAGTCATAAGCAGAGACCGGGTTCCATCACAGCTGTGGGGGCCGACGCCCCCCTCCCCGCACCCTGTGAGCGGGCAGGGCACGACGTCCACCCCCTCCTCCTCGTCGGCAGCTCTCGCCGGGCCCCCCGCCCATCGGGTGATCGCCCCCCCCCCCGCCCATCGGGTGATCGCCCCCCCCCCGCCCCGCGCGCGCCAGCTGTCTGAGGGACATGGCTACCTGGCTGGCTCACCACCGCCCGGGGTTACCTCGCACACGCCCACGTACACCACCACACAAGCGAACGCGGAGGTGTGCACGCGCGCACCCCTGCAGGCGCGTATTTCGCACACACGCGCGTAACCACGCGCCTCCCCTACGGGCGCTTATTCTGCGCAAAGGTTAGCGCTAAAGAAAAACGGCGGTATTAATATGCACGCGCACCCCTCCGGGTGGCTAAGCCCTAATTCGCAGCACACTAAGGCTAATGCTAAAGGGCTGTATGAATTTGTACGCACGCGTAGCCGTTAATGCTATTGTCGGTGTGTAAGCACGCTGTGTAAACGCCGGCGAGCGGGTTTATCGCACCCCGCCCCTGCCCTAATTACTCGAGCGGCACACTGCAGGCGCTCGTGTTTCACACACGCGCGCACGTAAACACGCTCAAATTACCAGCACCGTGCAGACGTTCCCCCTCCCACACACAGAAATCACACTGCACCGATCCTCTGAACTAAAGTTTATTACCGGCACAAATACATTTTACCTGGGGGCGGGTGGTGATATTTCGTGGGAAGAGCTAACTCTGCCTTCGAACCCAGTTGCTCAAACGTCTTACCACGTAAGTCGAAGCTGGACTCACGGCGTCCCACGGACGCTGAGTCGGAGGGAGGAGGACGAGAGAAGACTTGATCTATCACTGTCTCGAAGCAGCACTCGCTGGTATCACACGGATGCTGTGAGCGGCTCGAAGAGTCAGGATGGCAGGAAGAGGGTCTTGACTGCCCGGAGGTTGAAGAAAAGAGAGATAATCGTCCCAGGGCTCCCACCTTTATTCTCTAAACTTCAAAGGTCCAGAGGGACATCGCGCCTGCGCAACTAATCATGCCCCTACCTTTCGATATTAAACTGATGCCCCGCCTTACCTGGAGCGTTATTTTCCATTACGCCTCGACCCATTGTCTACGCGCCCGCCATCCCCCTTCCGGATTCAGCCGGTTTGGTCAGTGTTGCTGGATCCGGGGTTTTCCCTTCCTCCCCGTCTGCGCCGCCCGCATGCTATTTCTGCCCTGGCCCCTCCCCCTGTGCTGTGAGCGTTCTCATTGTGGTTAGCCCGGTGAGTTTCTGTGCGCCCATACAATTTTAAGCCAATTTAGGGGCACCGCAATGTAACCTGCCTGCGAGGGTCGGCCAATCTCCTGGCACCGGGAAACCGCGGGACTTTCCCTCTAGGGGCCCTTTGGATTAAAATCCGATGTGCCAGGCACCCCCCGTCAGGACACTACGTGGGTGCGCTGTGTGCGGGTGTGTGTTTAGTGCGGGGGCCGGGGGCGGGCGCCCCGCTCTTGCCACTGATGTGCGGCCTCCCCCTGTTGGTAGGCCCGACCACGTGCCCCCCACAGGGTCCCCAACAGGTGCTCCACGGGCTGGCTCCCTTCCTTCGGTTGTGGTGGGGGCATGCCGAACAACAGATCTGCCGGTAGGCGAGACTTCCGACCAAACATCATTCGGAAGGGGGTCTGCCCAGTGGAGGTGTGCACCATGGTGGTGTAGATGAACAGAGCGTAGGGGAGGTGTTCGTCCCAATCCGGAATGGCGGCCGCCATACGTTTGAGCTTCCCGGCTAAGGTCTGGTTCATGCGCTCCACCATACCATTTTCCTGGGGGTGGTATACCGTGGTTCGGTCCTTCTGGATTTCGAACTCTAGGCACAGCGCCTGAAATAGCTCTGCCTCGAACTCACTACCCTGGTCAGTAATGACTCGTTCGGGGATCCCATGTTTAAGCACGTAATGCTCCACAAATGCCCGGGCGACCACAAGTGCTGTTTTATCGGGGATGACCACTGCCATTGGACAGCGCATGAAAGCGTGAAATACTCTACCGCTACGAGAATATACCGGTTGCCTCAGTGGGATCGCAGGAATGGCCCCTGTAGGTCGACCCCAACTATCTGGTTCGCCCGGCTGACGCGGAACGGCCTCAGGGGCACCTGATACCGCGCCGGTTTCTGCCCACACTGTTGACAAGCGCGGCAGCCCTGTACCCAGGCGGCCACGTCATGTGCCAATTTGGGCCAGAGATACTGGCGACGCAGGGTTTGTCGAGTGCGTCGTTCCCCATCATGGCCCCCGAGCGGGTGGTCGTGCACCAGCCATAGCAGCTGGGGCCACACCTAGGCGGGAACACAGATGCACCCCGGCTGCCCGGCTTCGGTTAGTTCCCGCACGACCCCGTTCTTTACACACAACCGGGCGTACAAACCACTCCAGGGTCCCTGTATGGCGACTTTTTCCTCCCGCAGGGCCACCTCCATCGCCGCCAGGTCCGCTTGCGGGGAGCGCTTCTACAAAGTCGGCTGCCCGTCCATCCAAATGCATTTTCAGCTGTTGTAACGCTTGCGCTTCCGTCCAGCTGTTAATATCTTTAGCGCACGTGAGGTTCCGGGCAAACTATTTCCATGACGGAATCACTTGTCCGGTGAATACGTATCGTACCTTCGCTTGGTGTGTGGCGCCTCTCTCCCTTGGAGGCGTGGGGGGTCGTACCACCTCTTACACTAAATTGTGGGGGCCGACGCCCGCCTCCCCGCTCCCTGCGAGCACGTGGGGCGCGACGTGCTTTCACACACGCACGCGTAAACGCGCGCCAGTGTCGGCAGCCGTGTATGTTTTAATACACGCGTGGCTCACACACACGCTCAAATTACCAGCACCACGCCGAGGTTCCCCCCACATACAGAAATGACACTGCACCGGCGAGGGGGGTAAATTTCACGGGAAGAACTTAGCCTAACTCTGCCTACGAACCCAGTTGCCCATACGGCCTACCACGTACCTCGGAGCTGGACTCACGGCGTCCCACAGATGCTGAGAGTCGGAGGGAGGACGAGAGAAGACTTGACCGATCACTGTCACGCAGCAGCACTCGCTGGTATCACACGGATGCTGTGAGCGGCTCGAAGAAGCAGGACAGCAGGGAGAGGGGTCTTGACCGCCCGGAGGTTGAAGACAAGAGAGCTAATTGTCCCGGGGCTCCCACCTTTATTCTCTAAACTTCACAGGCCCAGGGAGACGTCGCGCCACGCAGCCAATCATGTGCCTTACCTTTCGATGTTAAACCGATGCCCTGCCCTGACCTGGAGCGTTATTTTCCGTTACGCCTCGACCCATTGTCTACGCGCCCGCCCTCCCCCTTCCGGCCGTTTTGGTCGGTGTTGCCGTCCCGTGGAGTACATCTCCGCGGGGGGTCCAGGGCTTTCCCTCTCTCCCCGTCTGCTATTTCCCCCCTGGCCCCTCCCCCCGTGCTGTGAGCGTTCTCATTGCGGTTAGCCCGGTGAGTTTCTGTGCGCCCATACAATTTTAAACCAATATTAGGGGCACCACAATGTAACCTGTCCTGCGAGGGTCGGCCAATCTCCTGGCACCGGGAAACCGCGGGACTCTCCCTCTAGGGGCCCTTCGGATTAAAACCCGATGTGCCAGGCACCCCCTGTCAGGACACTACGTGAGTGCGCTGTGTGCGGGTGTGTGTTTAGTGCGGGGGCCGGGGCACCACACAGCACATGAAATTTCAACTACTGGACGACGACCAACAATGAATAACAGCACTATCCAGCGCTCATTACATTGATTAGATTACACGGCAGAGTATTAAAAAGATGGATGCACTTTGGCTTGCGACTTAACGAGTGCATGCTGTATGCATTGCCGTTATGTAGAGCAAGTTGCGTTCGTTATGAGGATTTGTGTCTGACAAAGTGATGACCACAGCCAATCCTACCCACTATGCTCTCTGGGAACCCATTGCATGCCGACAAAATGCAGCATTTCATATTCTTCCCTGCATTACAAAAATGTCTGGCGCACAGGCAGAGCCACGGAAACCCATGGATTTGGCGGAATACCGCTCATCGCATGTCGGGGCCCACTGCATTAGTGACCCTTACAACTTACGCAGCACAGCTTTTGAAAATGTCAACATCTTAAGTGAGTTTGGTTCCAAAAGGCTTCCCACACAGCTCGTGCCCCTGTCATACCCCTGGGCTCCTTATACATAAACACCTGCACACAATACAGTATATAAACACATAAGCACTCCTGTATGTGTGTCATCTATATGACGGAGCACACTCTGATATTGATCATGAGAGATATGAGCACTGCCAGTACAAGTAATACGATCTTGTTTTTATGCCAAATGTCCACACAGCTGATCATTGCAAGAGTTAAATCTAAAACTCTTTAACACGGGTCACAAAAGTTCATACTTAAACTACGACACATGGGCATATTTTGCAAAAACAAGCGAGAGTGCGTTGACACAGAGGTGAAGAGACATCAATAACAGCTCAGGACAACCCCAAAAAAAATACACCATGCAACTTTGTGTTAAGTTTAATACATTCAAGTTAGCAGATGTTTACAAAAACTTTTTTTTAATGCACAAACTGTTTGTACAGTTTTATTCTTTTTGTTTATACTTATTCATTTATTTACTTTACTTATAAGCATTAGCAATATTGAAGAGATAACATATCCATAGTTTTTGGGTACCGATACTGAGCAATTTTTCGTTGCGGTAACTATCGAACAATTATTATCATTCTCTCTAGCAGCTTGGCATGTATCGAGTCAGTTGTCTTGGACGCTGCAGGTGCATGCAGAATGTACAAAATTGTAACGCTATTGTACAATTGTTGGCAAGCCTAAACGTAAAGTGTTCACAATCTCGCGGAAGTCAGCCACAAACAATAATGCACGCAACTGCGAAATTCAATGCCACCAAATGAACTCGACTGTATGCACACTCAATAACGAAAGCCAGTAATGATTAAGCTGGGGATTTATGCGTAACAGCATGCTAACAATACCGAGTCAGCTCAAATCCGTGATACGTTAAATATAGTAATAGATACGGGGTTGATTAACTAGTCTATGATAGATGCTACACTTAACAATATCTGAAAAAAATTGAACTACATACGGGAGAGGTAATATAAAAAGATGTTTGCTGGAAAGACTTGCCATAAAACAAGATACTGTACGTTATTATGTAGAATGCGTTTAAAGACACTTCAAACAACTAAGACATGGGATTCTAGCGGTATTATGTACGATTAAAATGAATTGATGGGATCAATGATAAGTTTCCCAATTAGTGTAATATTCGATACTTGAAACAGTACATTATGTACATAAGTGTCGTGTTCATTAAACAACCTTTTAATGTCATGTACTCTTAAACGTCCTAAATGAATGAAATAACCGTTTTTGTGAATACACACACACACAATGGGGCATATGATCTCTATTTATATTTACTATGAAATCTGAAAATATCTGAAAATCAGATTCTATGTATTAAAAGTTTGTTTTAATATACACGAACAGATAGAATTCAAGTCAATGCATTGTTCACAAAAGGATTCAGTTTGTCAACAATCCGTTGTTATTCTTTTAAACAAAATCAGTGTACAGCACATAGGAAAGCAAACATAAAACAACATCACTATGTTTCCTGCTCAACGGGGTGTCCATGTGTGTATTGATTCGGCGCTGCCACTGCTAAATCGAAGCATTCGTAAGCATTGCCAGCCTATTCTCTTACTTGGATTGCTTAAAGCTACACTGCTCGGTGACCATTTCTCGTGGATTTACTGCGCTTTACAATAAAAATGTGTTGGGTGCAGTGATTAATATCTGCATTGACACAGTGCCTCAATGTGTAACGACCCAGAATAAAAGATACAATGGTACTTCTAAGTTTTGCACAAGCCCCTCACGATAACGAACGGTACCCGACCAACTACAACATCCCGTTATTCAAGAGGCTCTGTCATTCTTTAAATGAGACATTTGCTCTCCCAGCAACCCTTTCCAAATAATTATCTAGGCAATGATGCTGGTACTACTATATTGTTTTACAAGTACAAATTGGTAATAAAACAATTACAACCACTTGCAACGACTTAAAATGTTAATGCCGTTTATGCAGTTGGATAAAGGTCCAAAAACCTAAATAAATACCACCACAAACCCAAGATATTAAAGATTGACTATATACCATCTATGAACATCGAGTTCTCAATTAAATAACAAGTCCATTCGTGAACAAAGATTACCAATGTAATGGAAACACAGCAATTATTTTTGCAGTTAGATCTACAGTACCTATACTCAGTCCCTTTGAATATTTGCATTTCATAAAATGCAACATGTAGTTCTTGGAACTGGTCTGCAAGCTTGCTGGAGAGATGAACATCTCAGAACAAAGAGGTTTCTTAAAGAGAAGTCAGCCCATGTAATCGACACACACTTTGTATCCAATCCAAACAAGGACTGCTTCATTCAGCAGACAAATAAAATAAATGTTTTTTGTTTGTTATAAAACTCGAAATTTAGATTAATGTCTGGGTTGTGTCTTGCATTCTAAAACATAAATCTGCATTTCAAGATTTTAATAGAATATCACTGTTATGAATGGACATGACTTAAGTGCATCGTCATCACCGACTCTTTGCATCATCCCTTCCCTTCACGACCATCCAAATACATTAGCTCTTTAATTTAAGCGCACTTCCAAGTCAAGCAGCACGCGCACCCTCCACACGTGCTCGTTATTTAGTTATTTTTAATCTGCGGGTGCAGGGCGCCCTCACAATCTTGAGAAATGATCCCTGACCAATCTCCCACAATCTCGTTGCGTGGTGGCCCACCCCGTCACGCTCTCCAGCTCAGTCCCGTGTGCATTTCCCACTTGGCGCCGTGGGGTCTGTCCCTTCTCGAATGCGTACTTCGTTTGGCCCGCTCCCTCCGCCACCCCCCCACGTGCTCTCCACACTCAAGTCTGGCCTGGTCCCGACTTCTGTCCTGATTAAACCCTGTTCCAGCCCCCTCCAACAACCACCATTCGCCACTAAGTGGCGGTGACGTCACCACGACGCTTGTGCCAGGCCATGTGCACCTTGAGGCCAGCCCCCTCCACACACACACCCTTCAACGATGTCTCCTCCGAATCCGCCGCCGTCTTTCTCTCAACTGCCCCCCCCCCCGACTCTCTTCTCCAGCCACTCCGTCCAATCCCTCTTGAACCAATTATATCTTTCGATTTAAAGCTTTCGTGACTGCAGGGATTCATATTCTTGGATCTTTCAGTAAAGTCACGTAGAAAGGAAATAATACAACAATACAATTCTCACGACGTTTTGGCCACAACACAAGCAGCCGTCCTCAGGTGAAGAACAGAGCTGACGGAAAGACAGCGTCCTTCTACGTGACTTTACCGAAAGATCCAAGAATACCAATTATATCTGTTTTGTTTTTGCATTCGTCTTTGATTAACCTCTTTTTTTCTCTCTCTCACACCAAGCATCGTTAGCAATTAACACGGGTTAATTGAGAACGCTATATTTTTTAAATGTAAGTTGCATTATTCATGAGACATCCACTTATTTTGATCTTCCAGTGACCAAAAACCACATAACTGACTTTTAAACTAGGCAATTACGTGTAGTCCACAGGTGAATTGCAATTACAAAGCGAGAGGTTATTCCACAGGTGAAACAAAAGCTTTGAATAGGAGAATATGTTTAACGCTAATTTGGATTCAACACCCTGGGGTTGTGTGCTGCACGGTATTAAATCCACTATCACAATGCATTTCATTATCCTAATCTACTAATTACAAACAAAATCATATACATTGACTTTACTCAAAAATACACACCTTCGCAATGTTTAAAAGGACCTTGCTTTGCCACCTTTCAAGTATACAGGTTATAGGTACTGAAAGCACATATGACAGGATTCCTTCTCAGGAAAATTTTTTGGACGAAAAAAATATTTTTTATACAGCCTTGTGTAGCTATTCAAGTGGTGCATGACATCTGTTACAAACTCTACAACGCAACACATCATAAACCGTACACATTTTTTTGCTATAAAGTTCGGCCTCCTCCCCCTTTCGTTACTTGCATTCTCTTCATTCCTATGCAAACTTCTCAAGAGACAACAATCCAAGGTTGAACTTCGATACTTGGGGAGAAATCAGGGAAGCATATAATTTCTGTTCGAGAAAAAAAAAACTTGCATTTCTTTAAAGTAACATGAACTGCATTCTGGCACAGGGTTGACGGAAAATGCAATTTAAACACTTCCAAGACTTTCGAATCCCTGGGAGATACAAAAAGCTCATTATTGTGGAATAAAATGCAAAGCCACGTTTGGCTGTATGTTTTTGAAGTTTTCGTTGTTCTAATGTTCAACAGTCAGCCTTGCTTTTGTCAAGACATCCAGAGATTTTGGCCAGGGTTTTCTTGATGCGGAGGGCAGTCAGGCGGGCCGATGGATTTTGGTACCAACATTCCTTCATCAGTTTGGCCAGCGCTGTCAGGCTCTACGGTAGGAGAAGAAGGGAATGAATGGTATATACGCGCGCACACACACACACACAAACACATGCAGACTCGCACACATGCATGCACGCAGAGAACGTCAGAATGAAACAGCTCGATACAAAGCAGTTTACACAAACCGAATGATCCGGGATGAAAATTATTTTAAAAGAACAATAAAATTCACACGTTTGATATGAGATAATGTCTGTCAATTACAGTAAAACCTTGGATTGCGAGCATAATTCGTTCCGGAAAAGTGTTTGTAATCCAAAGCACTCGTGGATCAAAGCACTCGTATATCAGTTGTAATCACGTGACGCTCGGCAGACAAAGCGTATACACGTACTACTCGTATTGCAAGACCTCGCTCGTTAATCAAATTAATATTTATTTAAAAAAATTGCTCGTCTTGCAAAACACTCGCAGACCAAGTTACTCGCAATCCAAGGTTTTACTGTATACTTATGTTTACAATTATGGCGGTACTCTTTGGTTCTTTCGGTAAAGTCACGTAGAAAGAAAATTAATTCAATAATAGAGTATGACGTTTTGTTGTGTGTCTCTCTCTGTTTGTCTGTGTTGTCTCTCTCTGCTTGTGTGTCTGTCTGTGTGTCTCCGTGTCTGTGTTTTGTCTCTCTCTCAAATGTAGTTCTACCTGATGACGGTTGTTTGTGTTGCAATCGAAACGTCGTACTCTATTATTTAATTAATTTTCTTTCTACGTGACGTTACCGAAAGAACCAAAGAGTAATTCCTGTAGTCACGAAAGCTTCAAATCAAATTATGGTGGTTTTACATAACATACTTTACATTACCAGAGTATTAATGTTACGTGTTTCAATCCTAATCAGGGATCAACACAGCCCATCATCCCTCAAGGGTCGTCATGTGGGAAGTCAACACCATTTGACCTATGTGTGGCCGCACCACAGGAACGATTCACGAATCCCAGTAGAAATGGACATCATCCCCACACTCATTTGAGTTGGGGGATGCTTTGACTTCTGAATATTGAACAGGTTACTGCAATATAACACACGGATGACCAGAAAAGGAAACTAATTCCTTGTTCTTCTTGGTTCTTTCGGTAAAGTCACGTAGAAGGGAAGTAATAAAATAATAAAAATAAAACATAATAAAATAGTTCTCACGACGTGTCGGCCACAACGCAAGCAGCCGTCCTCAGGTGATTGAATCCTTGCAGTCACGAAAGCTTTAAATCGAAATTTAATTCCTTGTTGTGCAACTTCAACTTGTATCTACCAAATGTGTGGGTTTACCGGGTCAGAGAACCAGCGGTTGGGGATGTTCGGACGTTGCTGCTCCACACAAACCACCTTCTTCATCTCATCGAAGCTCGGATCGCTGGGCACTGCGTCATGGAAGGGCACGCGGTATTCTTCCGCAATGCCTAGTGAAAGTATTAAACAAAAAACAAACTCTTAATTGAGTAGCATAATTAAGATATACTAAACGTAGCGCTTTTGAGTAGATTCAAAATGTAGGTAGAGTACAAACATGTTTAAAAGCCAACGACTTTCCCAATAGAGGGCACACAAAAAGTAAACAATTTTAAGCCAATTAGTCTCATAAAATCTGAAGGGAAGAAGCAAAGTGATTGCTTGATCGTGCACGTGTGTGTGTGATCCGCACCATTACTGAGAGTACGGCGCGCGATCTCCCAGAGAACAAGCCCCAAAGCCCAGATATCGGCACGCTTGTACGCATCAAAGCAATCTGTCTGTAGCGTCTCGTCCAACACCTCTGGCGCCATGAATCGCACCGTGCCCACACGTGGGTTTTGCCCAATGTCCAGCCGGCTCCACTCCTGCGAATGCATCACAGCGAGGCCTGCGGGCGAAAGCACGTGACATACGTCGTCGCATCAACGCCCGACTTGCGCGCGATTTTGTCACCGTCTATTCCTTAAAGGGTCGTGGTGGGGGTGCCACCGATGCCTCGGCTGTCAACTCTCTGCACTTTACCCTGTCCTTTGCAGTCCATGTTCTTGAAGAATCAAATGCAAGAAATGAAATATTTGCTTCTGTTATGACATGGAATGATAAGTCAACACAACATAAAATACTGCAAAGGACAGGCAAAAGCGGAGAGAGGTGACAGCCAACATTACAAAGTCATAACCCTCTCCAAAACCATTTGAAACATAAAAAACCAATCTTATTTACTAAATCTTTGCAAACGAATTGGGGGGAGTCCTTTCTTCACGCACCAAGATCGGCAATGCAGCACTGGCCATTGCTCTTCACCAAGATGTTCTTGCTCTTGAGGTCACGATGCGCGATGGCAGGCTTCCCGTGCGTGCCAAAGATCTCCCCGTGGAGGTGAGAAAGGCCGGCGGCCACGGACAGGGCGAGGCGCAGGCAGGAGGACGCCTCCAGGGGCCAGCGCTGCAGCCAGTCGTAGAGCGAGCCACACTCGTGGTAGTGTGTGATGAGCCACAGCTGAGTACTCGAGTTGCGCGACGTCATGTCCGACGCAATGAATCCTGAAATGGGGCAACGAGCGATTGTGATTTATCAAACAGCCCATTTCTTCCATTGGAACCTCATTTGCCAGAAGAAAAAATATGATAATTGTTTTTTTACCCTTTTATCTGGCAATAAAACTGACACCTTTTTTTCTTCTGGCAAATGAGGTTCCAATGGTGTAAATGCTTACCCCGAGCTCTCATACTCTGATGGTGCATTGTCTTTGAGATGTGCGCCTTTTGGCATCTGGTCCAACACCATGTGAGACTAGGCTCTAAGGAAAGCTGTCTCGGCTGTGGACCAATCAACTTCAAGGACAGTGCATACATTATCAGAGTTATGTTTTTTGTTTGCATTACGACTGCAGGTATTGTGGTCTATGCAAACATGACTCCTTGTAAAAAAAGGTGTCAGTTTTGTTGCCAGATAAAAGGGTAAAAAAACAATTATCAGCCTTTTTTTATTACGCGAATTAATCTCAATTCGAAATTGATAGCGAGATATGTATGCTGCACGATTCATATACATGTAAAAAAACGCTGCCAAGACAAATGTTAAGAGTGTGGCGGAACAGCGGACGCACAACCAACGCTATTTTGTAAGACAGTAGCAAGTGCATCACAATCGGGCATTGTGTTGTGTTGAGACTCTCGCACCGAGAATGTTCTCGTGCCGGAGCAGCACCGTGTTGTAGATTTCCGTCTCGCGGCACCAAGACTTCTCGTCTCTCGATGAGAAGATTTTCACAGCGACGTTTTCACCCTGCCACTGTCCGCGCCACACCTCGCCGTACCGCCCCTTGCCTGGTCGAGGAAACGCGACAATGCACACATCAACTTGCGTTTAAAAACGCACGGCTGCACATACAGATAGTCCCCGAGTTACGATGGTCCGACTTACGATATTTCGATCTTACGATGGCGATTGCAATACGACAAAATTGTAAAATATTAAAAATTTTGCGAGGCAGGCAAATGCAGCAGCGTACGAGCTACAATACTATACGTTGGGACGCTGCCAGGATTGTTTCCTGAAAAGACTTTGTTAAATTGCAGTTCATATATGTAGGCTAAGAATTTACCTTTCTTTTTACTTTACATTTTACTGTGCAATACAGTATTGTAATTAATAAATACATACAGTATATAGTTTATACAATACGGTACTGTAAATTGCTCTGTTTTGCTAAATTATCACCATTCTTTAAGACTCCTGGGTAGGCTAGGCCATCTTCGGATTTACGATATTTTCGACTTACGATGGGGTCGTCGTAACGCATCTCCATCGTAAGTCGGGGACTACCTGTCCTCGGTAAGGCTGGCGGGGTTGCTACATTTGTCAATGGTAGGGGTGGCCAACCTGTAATGTAAAAGTACCCATGAGTTCTGCAAAGTAAATATAAGTGTATATATATTGACAATTTTTGGCACAACACGGGTAACATTCATTATTCTTCTCAACTATGATAGTGCGTTCTACGTTATGCCCTTGCTGCTTGGGAGACGCCAGTTGGCCACCTCTGGTCTACGGTAAATGTATCAAATATCTTCATCTCCATTAACCGATACATTTATTCGATTTTGTGTAACCAAAAAAAATAACTACCCAAATGCTCAAGAGGTAAACATTTCCCAGAATTCACTCAACACAAATGTTCAAGGCACCGCACAAAAAACTCCGTGCGTCTGGATGCGAATCGTTCAGCACCGGCGAGTCAAGCGTCAACATCTGCCACCTTACCGACGCATTCAATAAGCGTGATTTGACGAGCCACTGTCCGCTGTACAAGGAAAGGGAGGCCTGAGCCACTGCCCGATGTACAGGAATGGTCCAACAAGTCCTGCCATTGGGGAAACAAAAAGCAAATAAATTTTGTTGTCAACGGCGCACTTAAACATACCGCGGGTGATTCATGTTGAATGCGTGTATGTTGAACTTGATGCGCATCGTACATAGCCGGTGCGATTGAATTTCAACGTACATAAATACATATATTTATCGGGCAAGAAAGGCTAAGTGGGCGACTAAATGTGGGGCTAAATGGCAACCTGCATATGTTGTTGGAGTTACAGTCGTCACAAGCCCATATCAGTCTAACTGTGAGTTGTGAACGTGTTAGCCCCTTAGGCAAAAGCACGACATCCAATTTATGACCAATTCCCCTCTTGCATTAACGCGTTAGTATGTGCAAACACTGTACATATGTTTCCCATTATCGGTGAAAGGAGTTAACTTCATTGAGGACAAACATCGGACAGCATGTATAAACTACAGCTATTGTGTTTAAACCCAGACTGGTGTTTTAGGTGTGAAACTAAATATCTGATGTATTTGGTTATTCACTCGTGACATCCAAGCCAATGTCTATATATATCGCTGAAATTAGAATAATTATTATTTCAGACGATACACTGATGTAAAGTATACTGCTTGAGAGTAAAAATGAGTCAAGTACTATTTTGTCCAGTACTCAACTCCACGGGACAATCATTGAAGGCAGATCGAGATCAAAATTACGAAATGCAGTTATAAATAAGGGCGGGTGGAGCAACATTTGAAAGCTGAACTTGACAACAAAACCCAATATACCAATGCCTCTAAAAAAGAAAGATTTGAGTCAGTGCATATTTCTCCCGCTCTGACATTTGGATTTGAAACATGAACAGAGATGGGGAGGATTGAACAAAAGCTCAAAAATGCACAAAGTGTGGAGAGATATGCGCTTGGGATTACGCAGAGAAAGGGAACAACAAGGATAAGAGAAAGTACGGCCGGTTCCAGGCATGAGTTTGGCCGGTTTAGAAAGGCAAACGGCCTTCGGCAGGACACATCGCTAGAAGGGATGACGGTCGCTGGGCGAGATAACTACGCGATGGCATCCAAACAAGATGCGCAGAGGTGGAGCGATGGGATCAGCGAGTGGGCAGGTGCTAGGTGAATTGTTGTATCACGAGGATTTAACAATCGAGAAGTGGATTGATCACGGTTGATAAAGATGATGATTATTTCACTCTCGTGTTCCAAAAGCAAATTATAGCAATCAAACAGCTCTACAGTATAGTGGTTAATCAACCATAAGAGTCATGTTACAAAGTACTGATGACCTGTCCTGATATGCCAGTGGTGTGATAAACGCCACACAAACACATAAACAGCACGAGTGTGGCTAGGATGCCAAAGCCATGAACCTCCAACTGCCCAATCACAAACTGTTCCATTGGCTTCAATTATGTAACATGCTACTTCGTGACATTTAATCTGCATGACCCAACTATTTATCAGTCCAAAGTACAAGCAACACAACAGCAACATGACTACTCATATAATGGATAACCTTGTAACAAATATAACTGCAAAGTTTACCCTTTGGTAACAAAAAACCTACGATGACATTTAATACCGTGACATGAAAAAAACAATATGCTCGAAATATATTAACACTTGTTTACAATGCAAAAACAATGTTTGACCTTCAACATTAAAGCATATTATTTCTCATATTGATTTTTCAGCTTTGCCCGTAAAAACGATAACCAATCAATAACCGTCACCACGCAAGATCTTCAGCGGCAGCTCACAGGCAGTGGTTGACATTTCCCACTTCTTCAGATGGTGCTCAACATCCCCCAGTTTTTTTTTTCAGTTTAATTTATTAGGTATGACCCTCCGAGCCATGCGGCTCTTGACTCGGGTGCAACCGCAACAAAACAAAAACGTGAACAAGAAACATCTTAAACTGACTACACGCAACAGAAAAAATTCTGGAAAAAACAGCAAAGTCTTCCAGAAAAAACACCGCATTTCAACGCTGTGTGCAAAAATCCCAGGGGGATGCAAGTCAAACAATAACAACCATAAGACAATGTAGACGTCACGGAAAGTGGCGCTTAATTTTGTATCGTGACGATGGGTCGAGTTGATTTATTTTGTCGACAGCCCTTGGAAACAAAATTTGAAACCTGCCAGAGAGAGCTACACCTTAGCGGATTGGCCAGCGTCGAACTCAAACGGAGTTACTGACCCCCCCCACGCCTTGGAAATCGGAAATGTTTACAATCCCGCTTCAGAGCTGCTAATGAAAAAAGAAGAGGACCACCCAACATTTCAAGGGTCGATGAAGCTCTCGCACGATTGGAGAGAAACATCATCGCACACTATGCTGAATAATACCGCGGATCACAACCCGAAAACACATTAGAGAGCCCGACCGAATTTGGATTGAATAATTATAACTTCAACGTGCAACGTGCACAGTATTTGCCGACTGTCGTCGAGAGAGAACAAATCAGAGGTGCGGTGATGAGACGTCACCTTCTTCGCCTGGTATGCAGGGGGTCGGGGGTTCGAGCCCGACCCTGACGCCTGTATACTTGGCGTGCTTTCCCCGTGGTCACGTGGATTCTTTTTTCCAGGTCCTCCGGTTTTTCCCTCAATGTTTAGGAATATGCATTTAGATAGTTTTTATTATTTCAGTGCTATAAAAGTCCAAATGGTGGTGCCACTTTGTTGAGCTATCATTGGTGGCCAGGTCACTTCTGAAAAATAAGTTAATGCCTCAGTGGGCTTTGCCTGGTAGGATGGGGATGGTTTAGTTTATTTGTTTGTGTTTGGGTGATTTGTTTACCCACTGGCAGTGCCAGTGGGGGCACGTGCCCCCCCCAATGATCCGATCAAAATCCCTAATTTCGATCGGATCATTGGGGTTTATTAGTAATAATTCGGCATTTGCGACCCCCACTGCCACTGTGTAGCATATTATTACGTTCGAGGGACTATGAGATGATAGGACAATAGTCTGAGTCCATAATTGGCAATAAGTAACGACAAAGCAGTTATAAGTGACTCACAGTATTGTGCGCAGTTGCGTATACAGCACACGACTTCCCTGAAGGCATTCACCTTCAGCGAGCGCGATGCCGATCAGACCACGCGGTTCGAATTCGACCCTCGATCGATGGCTGCGCCATCGCCGCAAACGCGTCAAATAAAAAGCAAGGGACACGTCCTTACTAACAACTCCTCTATCATTTTTCATTGCTGGAGGGGTTGCCCCCCCTACCTGAAAATCCTGGCTCCGCCATTGTGTTCACCTTTCTTGTACTTTGTACTACTATCGTGTTTTTGTACTGTTTGTTGTTGTAACGTTCTTACCCGCCCCTATGGGACATCTATGAAAAAGAGCTTTAGGTCATCGGATTCCTCCAGTATCAATAAATAATTATCTGATCCTGACAAACGGGAAGGCTTGTCACACAATGAGCCGGTGCCAACAATTGCCCGAACTCTGAAGTCCTCTATATATTAAGGTGTCATCGGCCAATTAATGAGTGTTCATGTGTGGGAGGAAACCAGAGCACCCAGAGCAAACCCACACGTGCGAGGGAGGAAACACTATCCCATACAGACAGAACAGGTGGAGTCCACATTTTGCTGTGTCGCCTTCTCCTGGCAAGCCAGGGTACAAAGATCCCCCGTATAGCCTCAACAGACTGTTGGGGAACATTCTATTAGTGAGCACCTATGAAGGCCGGAACAGCACACGTGGGAGTCGGCGGCCAGCACCACGCCCGGTCGCTCGTCTCCCTAGTGGCGAGGATTACACACTGCACCAAGTACTCATTTGAGGCCGAGTCAACCTAGGGAAGGCCCAGGACCAGTTCAAATAATCGTCACTGGTGCTGGCCGTGAGCGGGAATCAAACTCGGGTCGCGAGGTTCGTAGTGCGCTAACCGCAACACGAAGGAAGCATCGCGTGCTTTTAAATGCACTTTTTTTACGGTCTGGAACGCTCTTCCTTCCGATATTAGGAAGCCACTGGAGCGATGCACTTTTAAATTATCTCGATTGAAAAACTCATTTATTTTCAACAGATTTTTGTGTTTAGTTTGTCGTATTTCCCCGGCACCTCCGATAAGCGCTGTTGGCTACGTACGCCGCGAAAGAAGTTCAACATACATACATACAAGCAATATTTGTGCGGCGATCCACCGACCCTGGCTGCCTTTCGTGGTGAAGGATTACAGGCCACGTGCAGCACGGCCACCACCGCCTGGCTCGAGTCACGTCCATGCAGCGAGCGTACGAGCGAGCAAACGAGCGACGGCGGTTGGGGGGGGGGGGGGGACGAGCACTCACGGCGAGGGTGCTGTCGCCCACGTTGGACGTGATGAGCCCGTCGGCAGCACCGCGCTCCGCGTCGCGAGCGTGCAGGTGGCGGGCGCGCTGCTTGTGCAGCGATTGACACAGCAGCGCCGCGGCCGTCAGCAGGGCCACGAGGACTACGAGAGGGCCGGCGATGACCACTGCCAGGGTGCCCGGGCTGTACGGAAGCACCTCGATCTCGTCTGCAAAGCAACGAGAGGCACGTGTGTATCACGCATGCACGCAGCGCGTGCAGTAGAAACCCTGGTGTTAATTGCATATGTACGTTGTCCTTCCCCACCGGCACCTCCGATTAGCACGTTTGGGTATTTACGGTGCACAAGAAGTTTAACATACATGCATGCGTGTGCCACGAAGAAGGACCCATTCTCAAAAGGTCAGCTAGAATATATATTTTCCCCATGTTAAGGCAGTGTTATTGAAGAATTTGTTCATGTTTTTTTGTTAATTACACAATAGGTCATGTTGCAAGTCACAGCACACATTGCTTCATGGTGTGGTCCAGAAATCCAGATACACCGAATGAGAAATACGTTAAGTAATCCGGTTCTACTACGTACGAGAGTCATTTAAACGTGAATAATGTATAGCGCTGCTGTGCTACGGCGCCTAATTCAATGGCTAAATGGAAAGACCTATTCTCCAGACGGAGCCTGCTCATCATTCCGCTATGAAACGGCAGATTAAAGCGCGCTCGTTCTATAGCTTGAAGACAGGTCTATAAACGTTACAGAATGTATGGTCCCAAATTTAAACCCTGGGATTGATCCACGTTTCCAACATGTTTGCTGGCTAATAATAGCCGTGGGGAGAGTTTGGTTATTACAAGCGGGGCACTTTAGGTTTGCAACTAAATCGCTATACCAGGAAGCAGCTTTATCAATGTTATTAATATTAAAAAGGAAAATCCTTTACTAAAAGTCAGTGTCATATATGTTTCATGTTTGAGCTGCTGCATAAACTGGTAAGGCTATTATTATATTTTGGTACTGGCAAAGGAGGTCTAATGATGGTAACGCTAAACATGCATTTATGAAAAGAAAAATGATTAGCACAAGAAGAAAAATTTAAAGATATTATTAAACGAATGATGGTTGAATGATTCGTCAATAAAGTTTCTGTTTTGCAATGTAATTACCGAACGGTAATTTTAGTAGTGTGTTGGCTACTGAATGATAATCTACATTCTGCCGCAAGATACACCACGGTATATTTCGGCACTAAAATGCTCCCTCATTGGCAGGACCCATAAAGGATTATCCTGTTTCACCCACTTGGGACAGTAAACATTTCATAGCTTTCCACAAAAAGGTTTTCCGCTACCTAATTAGGTGTGTGTACATTAAATGGTCTTCCATGCCAATGAGCATTCCGTGAAAGCATAGTTTGTGAATGAAAAACACACGTTACCTTTCCGTCTCGAGCATGACGCTACAATTTATGAATATAGCAAATGCGTGTATATTTTTTATGCATGTGCAGACAAATCTAGCGTAAAGTCCCAAGCCCTGAATTATGTTTTATTCAAACAGGTAGACCGAGTGAAAATATTCATATATTGCAGGGTTGGCAGCGGATTGTACCTTTCATGTGACAGAAATTAGTTATTTAAATTATGTTTGTCCGCAGCGCCATTAGCATGAACTACTATTCAAAATGTATTAATCATTGATTACTGCGGCTTCAGTTTTTCACATAATCTGCCAAACTACGTCAATATTCTAGAGAAGATAGCCATCGTAGTATTATACGTGCACCATATTGAAACTCAAATCCCTTCAAGTCTCATTTAAAAGCACATTTATTAATGGGACTTCAGTTGTAATTTTTGCGGACAACACGAATAACCGTTATGTACATTTCTCAAACAGACACACTATTGACGCTGATACCAGTTTCCATGAATAGCAGCACTTCAATATTCAGTTTCAATGAGTAATGATTGAACACAGGGTTTAAAAGCAGACTTATGGAAAAAATTTGTTTTAATATGATGGTGTAATGTTTGCGCTTTTGTTGAGGAGCATTAACATTAACTATTCATGTGCAACAAGGTTTGCCTCTTCGCTAATGAATGCAGTAAACAAATCCTCTCAATAGAAACTCAGCAGCAGGCAATAAACCTCAACGTCTAATTTCATTGGAATACTCTTCACAGAAATCCTTCTGATCATAGGTGTTCTGTATCATAGGTGTTCGACTCTCGCGTGAGAACACTGGAAGGGAAAAAATCATGGCTCACACACCCCATGACCTCTCCAACGTACCCAACGGACACAAATTATATTAATGATAGAGAGGCCAATTGCACTGTCCTGTACCATTTCAACCTTCGGTGTCCTGTCAAAGCTTTGCTGTTGGCTGTGGCCACTGCGTAGATATTTTTGTATTGTGCCGGCTTGTGTTTCGACGTCACATGCCTCAACTATAAAGAGTTTATACATCGATAAGGCGGTGTGCCCATTGAAGCTCCGCCGTGATTTTCTACATTTTGTCAACTTTACCGTGAAACCACTTCTGTCTGCCGACAAGCACTGGCATCCAAATTGCAGATCAAACAAATAGTCACGAGACTTTACACAGTCACCGTAGCCATGTGATATTCCCACCCATACCTCTTTAATAACAGAATTGTGTACATTCTACACGACTAAAATGCCAGTTCTTATACAATGCGTGTGCAGCAATATTTCACGCAGATGACATTGTTCACATATTTACCAAGGCTGACGTACACCCATTGAGATATAATAGTTATGTTTCTGGTTAACTATTCTGTTGAGTTATCAGTTGTTGTTTTTTGACCATGAGATTAGCAACAGATAGCCGACTCTTTCCTACCGTGCCACAGGGCCTATGTCTACAATGAGCATGCTTGAAGAAATTGACCTTTTGACCCCATGTAAGCTAGTTCAGTGACAAGCACTCTCATCAATATACTACCCATCTGCCTAATTTTCCATGTCACTCTAAAATGCAGAACATCTGTTGTGCAATTTTGGCAGAAATTACTTTCACTTATCCTCTACTATATTATTAGAAGAAGCACAATAACTTTTGCACGGATGCCCTCTACAGACATTTCTGATTGAAAACCAGAAACTATAGTTCATGTTTTTAAAACACAGCCTCGAGAATAGATAGACCTGCTGAACATATGGGAATTTTACGTCACTTTAAAATGAAAACATGTTTGTGCAAGCGTGGGGGTGATTTTAAAGGTGCACCATTAGCTTGGTCTTTACATGTGCCTATTCATTATGCACTTTCAAGTGCACTATGCCTGAATGAATTATCTGTGCGATTTGAAAATAAGATTTTTGCATTAATGCGGTTCGTTCCTGTTCACTGAAATTTCCCCAAGACACCCCAGAAATATGTAGAACATAGGCCTAATTCTAGATTTGAAGTTTTCGTGACTGCAAGGATCCATACTCTTTGGTTCTTTCGGTAAAGTCACGTGGGTGAAAAAAAATAAGAATACAAATAAAAAATTTGTACTAAATTAAATCACGACGTTTCGGAAGCAACACAAGCGTCCGTCATCAGGTGGGACAACCACAGCAAAATTACTGTAGTGGGCAAAGAGAGCTGTTAGTGACAAGCGATTATATAGGGTGAGAGGGGGGGGAGCCAGGGAGGAGGGATGCAGGGGCCTACTATAGCATTTATAAACGGTCAATTCCACAATAAAAAAAAGGATGTACATATGACATCACAGGCCTAACAGACACATTGTACACTCTTTAATGTGTCATGCTATAATACCTGCCGTCTACTCACATTGTATTCTTGACAAAACAAACAGGACCGATGGTGACATTTGTGATTCTACGTGTTCAAATTCAGCCGTTCATCAATCCACTGCTGGACGAAGGCCTCACCGCACCGCACCGGTCGCGGACGTTACTTTACCACACCTCACCATGCTGCTCGATGCGGGTTGGTGAATGCAGGCTTCACGGACACAGGGAGTTATGCATTGAACACAGCAACGGACGTTGCTGCACTGCCCTCTGCTGGCCACCATGTAGTCCTGCAAGCCTATTCGTGCACAGAGGTCACCCAGCTAAATACCATCCAACTGCTCGGCTTAATACTGACGGTGGTGGCTATGCCCGTGGCCTGTAATCCAGCACTGTGAAGACGAGGGTTAGTGGACCGCATAAAACGTCGTGAAACTCCATTTTCGTGGGTGTCGAGGTGCCATAACCCTGGCTCGCCAGGAGAAGGCAGTAGAGTAAGTGGACTAATCGCCATGTGTTTCCATCTGTACGGGAATGGAGAGTTGTCCCCACGCACGTGTGCGGTTTCTCCGAGATCTCCAGTTTCCTCCCGATTGTATAAAAAACTCATTAATCACGCGGACGTCCAGAATAGACACCTCTTGCAAGCCCCAGGCATTGTACCTCCTCCTGGTTTTGACATTCCTCATAGGCACTAATGTACCATCAACCGCATAAGGGCATTAATGGGTCGACGCCGTACATCTCCTTCATTAACGTGAAGCTAAAGACACGCTCCACAGAGCGACTGCGGCTATGCAACCAAAACTGTGGACCACATACTTAGTGAACCACTGTAGTCTGCGCTCCTTGAACGAACGAATAGCAAAACTGCACGAAACTCTCTCCCGAAGCCGCCTCGTGGCTAGCAGACCTCGACAATGGCATTTAGCTAAGGAACCACACTGCCATCGTTATATGCAAGAGTAGAACATTTGGTTGGAATAAATATCTTAAAATAAAAACCCAATGAAAAATAGTCATATGACTCAGTGTGGCTTACATGGGAAAAATAAAAGAAACAAAAAATAAAGATATGATGATATGGGTGCATTCCAGGTGATGTGCTCACATGATTATTACATTCTACGTCCGTTACGATAAATACATTACCGTTGAACTGACCAAATACATTAATTTTAAGATAAAAAATATACAGCCTGAATACAAGATCCAACAAGCTCGGCAAGGCCCTGCGTGGCGCACAGACTGCCTCTACATATTCATAATCAACGTTGTTGGGTTTAGATCGTGTTATTTATAAATGTGTCGTAACCCTCCACCACCCGACATGGCCAATCAGCAAAAAAGTGTCACGTTGACAAAAGACAAATAGTTCACTGCTTTAGCCCACCGGTGTGTTGAAGCGCGAAACCACAACATTTAAAAATTTTTAGTACGACGTTTCGCTGGTAATTGCATCCAGCATCATCGGGCAATTCGCCAGGATGGTGAGGCTCTGCTCTTGCTCCCGGTCTTAAATAGAGCAGCAGCAGGTGACGTCATCATTTAAATCATCAGGTGCAACGATTTGAGGCGGAGGGGGGGGGGTTATTGTAATTATATACGAGATTAGTAATCAGGCAGTTGTTACGATGTGAGTTGTAGATTAGTAATCCGTTGTAATGTGTGTTATTGTAATTATATGCTACGTTAGTAATCAGTTAATTAGTATTTGTTTCCCCTATAAGGAATTGTAATATGTATTATTTATTAATACGCTTCCAGGCCGCACAAAGCCTGTAGCTGTCTGAGCGGTTACGTATCTAAGCGTGCAGCACTGCACATGGCTGTGCAGTGCTTACCAGGGACGGCCACAGTGGCGAGATGTTATCTCACTCGGCTGGTATAAAGGAGGCCGTGGGTTCGATCCCAACACCCCGACGCCTGTATATTCGGAGTTTGCATGTCTCTATCCCCGTGGTCGCGTGGATTTTTCGTCGGTTTTTTTCCCTCTACATTTAGAATCAACGTGCGCTCAAGAGCATTTGGCTGCTATAAATTTCCCAAGTGCTGACAAGCCACTTCGTTGCGCTATCATTTGCGGCCAGGTCGCTTCTGAAAAAGAGCTACGTAGGTCAGTGGGCCTTAACCTGGCAAAATAAAAAAATATAGTTTACGGTTGAAATAGTTGATAGTTTATTACCATCAGGGGGCGGTGTGGCGGTGAGGTTGGAGTTACACCAGTCTCCTGTGCAGCACTCGATCACCACCTGGCTGGTCGAGGCGGGGGTGCTGCAAGTCAGCCGTACTTGCTCGGCATTGGGAAGGCAGCCTTTCAGTTCCACGTAGCGCCCATTGGTCAGCTCTAGGGCGGAGTAGCAGCGCTGCCCGTTGCACTGAGACTCTTCGCCGCAGATGCCTTCGCACGCGCAGACAAACGGCGGGCTCTCCAAGCCCACATCTCGTACACGGGGAGGCACGGAGAGTACACGTGTTAATACACACGCGGCGAGTTCATGGGTGGTCGTTAGTTTGTTGGTACAGAATCGTTTCAATAGGTTATTTTGGAGAGTGACTTAACAAAAAAGTATTCTTTCTTATCGTGTCTTCCTGCTCAAATGAGCAATGGGCAGCTATCTCCCATCTCTGTAGGCAGGACACCGACATCACTCTGCAATGTCCAAAGAATGAGCACTAGTGACTTTCTACAGTGTGCACGTTGAACTTCTTTCGCAGCGTATGTAGCCAACCGTGCTAATCGGAGGTGCGGGGTAAGGACAACACAAAAAGCAGTTATAAAGATTTTGAGTTTTCAATCTAGATTATTTCAAAGTGCATAGTTCCATTTGGCTTCCTAATATCGAAAGGTACAGCATTCCAGGTGGCCGCAAAAGCACATCGGAAAGCGCGCAAATGTAGTGACCGTCTTTGTACGACGGTTAGCCAAAAGCCGCTGCAAGGATGACCGGAGTTCGCGTGATGATGGTTTATGCTCCTTAACGAGATCTACAAGGTATTGTAGGCCATTTGTGGCGAGCACTTTTTGCGAGTAGAATGTCAAGATCTATTTAATATAGAACTTGGTATTGCTAAATTTTTATTTGAAACATCAACAACACATACATTATCACCTGTAGTGGGTCCATTCAAATATAGGGACAAACAATATTAATCCACTCTGTTAATGCCAACTAAGACTTCAAAGAGTGCATTGGCAGCAGTGTATCATGTGCAGAATGATCACACCTTGACCCTGCTGTTATGATGTTTTGGTTAATGGACCTTCTTCATGTACGGCAGTTTTAAGGACCACGGTGGTAACAGATTAAAGAAACTGGGGTTATTCAGAATTATTTACCAAACCGCATTTCATACTTGAATGGTACTTGTAAAGGCAAAAATTATGGAGAAAAAAAACTGAAATATTTTCGCACATTCTTAGGTAAACATACAGAAACCGATTTCTTTTAATTCGTTCAGCTGTTATTTAATATAGCGCAAATAAAAAAATATAAAATTTTGCCACAAGAGGGCAAACTTGAATAACGAAAAGCCTGCATACAGGAACTAGTTAGTGTTAAACCATCCAGGCCATGACGAACAAAGGCTCTTACCCAATGCCGCATATAAAAAAATATATTGCAAAAAAACTCACTCCAATAAATTACTTTAATTATCAGTATTCAGCATGTTAAATGTCTGGCATTTCTACTGAATTTTTTTAAACTATGAAATGGAAGAAGAGGATGATGAGAGTGTGACCCTCTCGAGGTGCTCCGGTTTTACTCCCACGTGTATAATAAACACTCGTGATGAATTAGCTGAAAACATCTTAAAACAACAAAAAACCAATGTAGCAGCAGCAGGACCCCCCCTTCTTAAAAAAAAACAGTCCTAACGTCTCGGCGTGGATTTTTTCCTGGATACATAAGTAAACTTGGCACACAAACGGTGGCGTTATTTGAAGTCCGGTGGAGAATGTAAACGGCGTAGCCACATGCCGCATGCCTTCACAGATCCTTCCTGCGTGCAGCTGTTACCTTTGGCTGCGAATGATGACACACAGAAGTAGGTCAGCGTAGCGATGCTCACCACCCACACCCCCATGGCAGCCGCGTACGCTGTGGCTGCAAGACAAATGCCCGCATGCGCGCGCACACACGCACACAAAAAAACTAATTCACTTTTGAAAAATACGTCTCAGAAACGTCCGCGATCGCAGACTTCTCCGCGAAAAACGTGGCCTCTGCGGCGTAGACTACAACCGCGCCGTGCGTGTCAAGATAAGTTAGCGGACAGGAATTCCGTCATGTCCTGCACAACTAAAGGCAATATCATTCTGGCACAAAACAGCGATACGCTGTGCATGGTAGACCACAAATGGCCTACGCTGGCACTTTATCTGTGTCACGGGTGAGAAATTTTGGCAGGGAAAATGAGATCGGAAGAATGGTCAATACACATGGCAAGGAAACCGGTAATGTTTACCACTCAGGAGTCACTACTAAAATAGAATACTGAAGCAGCAACTATTCATTGTTCTTGGGACATTATTCGCGTTTTGGAGGTGAAAACTGTGGGCACAGAACTTTTCTGCAAAGTCAGCCCGAGGCAGACTTTCCTTCACAAGTGTCAAAGAAAAGCGGACTCGAAAGTGTCTCTTTGCTAAAATCACAATGGAGAGCGGAGCTCATCTCTGCTGGTGGCCCTGAGTCTGTGGTGGAAATTCCACATTCCAGTGGCAGAGGCTGGTATATCCAATTTTGCAAAGGTTAACGACTGTTGGTACTCATTTCACAACCCCAACACTTACCCTAACGGACTGTTAGGGTAAGTGCTGATAACAAGCACCTATGAAGGCCAGCACCACACCCGGCCACCTTTGTCTCACTAGTGGCGATGTTTGCACACTGCACTAAGTACTCAATTTGAGGCTGAGTCGACCTAGGGGAGACCCAGGACCAGTTCAGATCATCGTCACTGGCGATGACCCCAAGTGGCTATTGAACCTGGGTCGCCGGGTCCGTAGCGCAGCGTACTAACCGCTACGCTGCCGCTCCCCGCAAGAAAGTGAACACCTAGACTGCCACGTGTTTTTTACACCGTACACCCGGTCATATTTTTTTAAAGTGAAAAAAGAGGATTTGTGTGCTACATTGGCATGTACCGTACATAGATTGTGTACTCATGGATTACATGTCGATAATGCTACGCTACGGATTAAGATAACTACAAATGTAAACAACACGAGATGACAATGTGATTTAAAGTGTTATCTCCTCAGCCAGGTAATTCTATTACAATTAAAAAAAAATATCAAATGCATAATTACAATTGTTAAAACAATTATCGTGGCACTATTTCATGCAAAAGAAAATCCATGGAACAAGTAGCTGGAGCATTGTGTCCATTGGGATCTACGGATAAAATGCACATAACAAATGTAAATTATTATTTTATATATATGGAACTGAGCGAATGTTATGCAGGTTGTACCATGTAATTCAGTAAAATGTAAAGTGCGCAAGATTTAAAGAAGCTACATGTAAAATATTGCTCTCACAGACTTTGCATGTGAACCCCCAAAACGTAATGTCACCGCACACTTGAAGCGATACCGTTTAGCATTAATTGTCACATGAGTTAAAGAAATATTACTCATTGCCCAAGGCATAAGAGTTGAATAATTAACTTCCAACACACGTTTTGTAAGTATGCGGGTTAAGCTCTAAAGTATAAGAAAATTGCCGGAGTTGGCTGAAATTTGCCCCACTTAAGAGCTTAAACAATTGCTGAATTTTTGCGGTTTTAGTCATTCATTTGTGTCTGCAACTTGCCAGACAGCCACACTGTTCCCATCCGCATGTATACATTCGACAGTGCAAACATACGGTATGTACGTACATTATGCATGTAAATACATTGTATTGGTTGAAGGATATGACACAGAACCAAAGCAGACAAAGCACACCACACTCTGACATGTTTACAGAAGCCCCACCATACATTGTCGTCCTTGAGATGTTGTGACAATACAACAAGCCACGAGCTCGGAGGTTACTTTCTTTTCGACTCTCTTTTCGCCTGCCCCAATTTTTATTCTGCGCAAACCCCGCACCACAATGGGCCGCTGTAAGACCCCCTCAAGTAGAACGTTCCCTCTGTCTGACATACGCCGGCGGCAAGCCGTGGCACTGCGGCCCACTACTTTGAGGGCCTCTGCCACCGCCGCCACCACCACCACCACACGTGTTTCCTGTGATCACACCCAAAGTGAGCGGCATTGGCATTAAACTTCCACGTTGCGAGTGAGCAAGAGGGAGGGAGAGACAGTTCGCTGGTTTCGCAAACGAATAAATATCGCTCAGTGATAATGACGGTCACAGACGAGACTGGTAAACAAAAAACACGGCAATGCACTTGCATACTAAAGTGTACAGTGGAATGAATCGGAAGGCCGCAATGACTGAGGCAGTCTGCGTTCCAGTGCAACACCACTCCCATTAGGCAATGAGCCCAGTTCCTGGTGGCTTCTGCAGAATCTGCCAACAGCAGCAGAGGTGTCTGGCCAAAGCGGCCATCAATGAAGAGCTTGCACAGAAAAAAATAATAACTATTCAATTAATGGCGACGATGAACACCTGAGGGGTTTGTAAGCCTTCAAATCCAGGTCGGCTGATTTGGCTCTACATTTTTTTGGTTGGCCTCGAAGCATATACTTCTTCCGTACGTGCAGAGTTAATATAGGAAATAATTAGCTGCGGTATGGTTTATTTTGTTTTGGACAGTGGCCAATGTAATGTTAGTACACTATCAAGTCCATACCAACATTGTTTGTTGTGACAAATATGAACATATGCTGACAGGTTCAGCTAAATACCACGCTCTGCCGACTACCTTGTTCTTAAAAAAAAAGAAAGTCACACAAATGAGTGTGTTTAAGCCACCGTTGAAAATGCTCTTTGATGATGATTTTCTTTCTTTCCCAGTGTAGTTTCATCACTCACAGAAGCACACGAGGCACAGCTGCACTCGGGTACGGAACGAAAACAAAGAGGGAAAAACAGAAAAATAGTTGAGCGCAAGCCAAGAAGTCCGACGGTTTCACGTTTCCAAGTTCTGCAGACGACTTGCCCTCAATTTGCTGACAGCAACTGTGCCACTCTTGCAAGTTAAGATGCTCGAACAAGGCACATGTCCTTATTTCAATTCATAATCAGTCCAGTATCTTTAAAAGCCTAGTATTCCGAGATAACCGTCATTACAGGCGTATTTCCACGGAATGTTTTCGACATAATAGCGTCGTTGGTTTTTGCTTGACAATTGAACTCCTGTGAGAATAAGTACAGAGCCAATGAACTCGAAAAGTGGTATTCACTCTGACCCGAACCACAATGGCACACCAGACACACATTTTTATTTATTTAAAATGATGCCATCGGAAGGCGAGTGCTAGATACGGTGCAATATACGGCAGTCGTGAACTTCACCCCATCCATCTGCTCCTTCTGTTCACTCAACCTACTCACTATCACCCTCTGTTCTCTTTAGCAGCCCCATTTTCTCCTTCTCCCTCTCCACGATAGGTCAGCAAAGAGCCATTTACGTGCATCACAACCGCTGCCCCAAATGTCACCAGAGTTGATCACAAATTTGAACAACACTTTGTGGGATTTTCACAATGGGCTGTCGATGTCTGACTTCTTCCGGCTGTCCCATGGATAAACTGCTCCCCACCATAGACATTTCGAAATTTACACCGCTGGATGAGTGCTGGCAAAAGAGATGAGTTCTCGCCAAATGCTTATTTGAGCAAAAAAGCACTGCAACTTGCCTTTGATGGGAACATTAGTAACTAGCACAATGCTCCATTATTCGATACGTCAAGATGAAACGCTAAATTGAAATAAGCCGTTTTCATTATCAAGTGCTATAAAGAGTTCGCACTGCCTATATTGGGAAATACAATTACGATATAATTTGGACTTACAATGCGCTTATTCATCCAAATACAATTGCGTCTCAAATACAGCAATGGAAAAGGTTTGCCCTGCAGACAACTTTCATGGCCAATTCAGTTAAGCAGTTTGGCTGACAAAGCACTGTGCACTGCAGTGCTCATTAGGCTGTGATGGCATCATTAATTGCCAAAGGCATGCGTTTGATTAGCACAAATACACATCTTTCAATGCACTACTGCAATGCAGTGTACAGCATCTGCCACGCATACAAAATCCTGGATATATCTGGGCCCACGAAACAATGTTAACGTTCAATATGTGAATGTTTACAAAACGTTTCCGCAATTTGGCAGTGCAGATACGAGCAGCCTCAGCAATCTTGAAGTCCTGAAAAGAAAACCCTCAATGTAAACACAGAGGGCTTCTGTTTATGGCAGACTTTGTTTAAATGATCTTGGTTTAGCTACATGTCTACAAAGTTGCCTCTTGCAATCCCGGTTCTCTTCCGCAATAACCGAAAGACATTAATCCACAGACTCAAACAGTGCCATGACGATCAATATAGGCAGCTGACATGAAGTCTGCCATAAAGCTGCCAGACTACGTAGCCAAAGCGACTGCACGCAACTCTGCTTCGTTTTTTTACATGGCTGGAAAGCCCAGAGGTCAACAGGTTCGTAATTTGTACGGCATCGGTGGATCAATTTCTACAGCCGGCGGTGGCTAGGAGACGTTATCTCCCCTCACCTGATATACAGGAATGTCGTGGGTTCGATCTCGACCCTGACGCCTGCTGTATATTTGGGAGTTTGCATGTTCTCCCCGTTGGTCGCTTGGATTTTTCTGAGGGTCCTCCCTCCGGTTTTACCCTCCAAATGATCCTTATGGCCGTACCCCGGGGTACCAAATAATACTAAATTGGCGAGGCAATTAAATATTTTATTTCTGTGGCACTATATTTTCCAGGGGTGTACTTAACTCCGCGACTGGGGTACCAAATCAATCCGAAATCAGTGCTATCCGCGATGTCGAAACGCAGCGAGGACGATTGCGCTGAAACCCTGAACGCTCGCGGTACGCACCGTAGTGGTGCATTGTGTACAGCTCGTCGAGATGAGTCGACTGCCGCATCGCCAACCATCAACAGACTAAAAATGACTGCATCAGGGACATTATGCGAGAGCCGGGGTACTATGGTACCCGGGGGTACCGCCATAAGGTTCATATTTAGAAACATGCATACAGAGTATTTTTTCTGCTATAAATTTCCACGTGATAAGCCACTTCATTGAGCTATCATTCGTGGCCAAATCGCTTCTTAAGAAGAGGTATATAGCTCAGTGGGCCTTACCTGCTAAAATAAAATTTGTAAATGGTTAGTATAATCTCTACAGGAATGATCAAACTACCCCATTTGCTGCGAAGTGAAACATCAACATTCGCTCTAGAAAGCTACTGCGTGCCACTGACACAGCACACAAATTGTATTGCAGTAATGAATGTGAAAACTGCCCACTTAACAAATAATAGTCCACACAGCAATGGTCTCTCTCCGGGTTTACTTGGAAAGGGAAGTATGAATTTAAATTGGCTCTCACCTGGCTAAATACAATTATGCAAACATGAATAACACAAAACGTGCTTTTATTGATGTGAAGTACCAATCATTACTGCAGAAATGGAGATGTATGTACAGGGACTCCTCTACTTACGAACATTCGACTCATGAACTTTCAGAGATACGAACAAAACCTGTCCGTATGTCCAGTTGCCTGTTGGGACCGAGAGTCTTAAGTTCAACTGCAGTACAATAGATGGCGGTGGTGGCATCTACATCTCCAGATTATACAACTTTTAAATCCATTCCCCGTGTTGAGTGTACACGCCGTACAACAACGTTTGGAATCGACAGGAGAAAAATTTGACTTAGGAACAAATCGACTTATGAACAGACCTCTGGAACCCAACCCGTTCGTAAGTAGAAGAGTCCCTGTAATAATAATGTCTCGGTGACGCCAACTAATCGTCCACATGGTGGGCTCTGTTTGCTTAAATCAGTGCTTCTCAAATGGGGGGTCATGACCTCCTGTAATCAAGGGGGGGGGGGGGAAGTCTCTCCTCTACCTTTGGCTCTCTCTCGACCAATCCCTTGCTGGGCGTCTTCTCTCCCTGTATTTATTCCATCTTGTCTTTCTCCGCATCTCTCTCTCTCTCGCTCTCAGTCTCTCCCAATCTCTCCTTGTGTGTCTCTCTTCCCGTCTTCATCTCAATACCTCCGATTAGCACTGTTGGCTACGTACGGTGCGAAAGAAGTTCAACATACGTACATGCACCACGTCTCTTTCACCTACGCGTGTCTCTCTATTGCATGTGTTTTTCCGCTTGTGCGTGTGTATATCCCAAAACTTTGGTTTAAAAAAAACTAAAGCCATTCCAAGTTGCTGTTCCACGTTTTTGGAATCCCATTGCCGCTCAACTGCAGCTTGGTTCCCTCCCATCACTCCCCCTCTTTATTTGCCCGTAACTGTCGACCAAACACACCGAGCATGCTTGCACCTGGACCTCATTTTTTTCTTTTGGAGCCTCTTACTCCCCGCGCGCGTTTCGTTTACGACCGTTAAATGCCCTTCTTGTTAGCCGTGCAATAGCCCTTCAGGACCCCGCTGTACTTACTCGTTTGTTTGTTGGTCTTTATTTTGTTGTTGTTGCTGCTGCTGCGCTCACGCACCACGGGAGATACATAGCCAGGCTACTGGCTAAACCGGACCGGCGTGTAACAAATCAAAAAAACGAAACCTCTTTCCCCGTCTCTCTCTCTTGTCTCTCTCTGCATGTCTCCACTGTGTCTATTCCTTTTCTTTCTCTCCATCTTCTTATATAATGCCCTCTTGTAAATCGCTGATATTTCTCCCACTGTTCTCAATCTCATTGTATTTCACTTCCCGTCTTTCCTCTCGTCTCTCTCCCTCGCCTCTACTCATGTTTCTGTCCTTGCGTATCTCTTCCGATCTCTCACGATCCTATACGCGTGTGTGCGCACACGTGTTTGCGAGTTTTGTGTACGTGTATTCATATTAATTTTGGTATGTGTAAAGTTGCATGCATAAATACGTTGTAGGAGTGTTCAGACACGTCCATGTTTGTATTTGTGTATGCTGAACTTTTTTCGCACCGTACATAGCCAACCGTGCTATTTGGGAGTTGCGACGGACGGACAACAAACCAGTGGCTTCCTAATATCACAAGGAAGATCATTTCAGACGGCCGCAGAAGCGCATCTGAAAGCGCGCGACGCAGTCACCGTCTTTGGTCGATGGTCAGCCAAAAGCCGCTGCGAGGATGACCGTGAGAGTTCGCTTGATGATGGTTTATGCTCCTTGACCAGATCAGCAAGGTCTTGTGGTTCATTTGTGGCAAGCACTTTGTGTGTGTAATGAGTGCGTTTAAAAATGTATTAGTTCAGCAACCGGCAGCCAATGCAGTTGGGCGAGCTACGGGGTGGACAAATGATAGCTCAACGAAGTGGCTTATCATCACGTGAAAAATTATTGCAGCCAAATACTCTCCACGCATGTTGATTCTAAATGTAGATATAAATACAGGAGGACCCGGAGAAAAATCCACGCGGCCACGGAGAGAGAGGAGTCAGGGGTAGGGATCGGAACCCACGACCTCCTGTATACCAGGTGAGGTAGTACATGTTGTTTGTCGTTTATTGTGAACATTCCGTCACAGTTCCTATGATCACTGTTTCATTGCTTTATTTTGGTGATTTCGAAAAGTTTACTGGTTTGGCCACGTTTGTTTGTTGTAGTACGGAGTAAGACTGATGGCCTTAATCTAAGTTGTCTTGTGGTTGTTGTTGTTGTTGTTTGACTTGCATCCCACTGGGATTTTTGCACACAGAGTTGGTGTACGGTGTTATTTTCTGAAATATTTTGCTGTCTTTTCTTGGATTTTCTGTTTGCACTCAGTCACATTCACTTTGAGATGTTTTCTTGTTCATGTTTTTGTTTTTTGTTTGTTGCGGTTGCACCCGATTCAAGGCTCACAGGGCTATACCTAATAAATGAACTTGAATGAACTTGAGGTAGTTAGCACGCCCTAAAATAATCTAAAGTCAACTGAGCAAGTTGTCCCTCATAAAGCAGCGTCACTCCCAGCACAGCTGTGCGCGGGGAAAGAAGTGACTCAACCAGTTTCTTTTGTCACGTGAAGCTATTTGGGTTTTTTTTTTAAACCTAAACAAAACAACTAACGTATAAACAGCTCCGACGCATTGTAAGCGTCTTACTTTAAGACGTAGTGTTTCTTTCCTTAAAAAAAATCCTAGTCCGACTGCAGCTGCTCAGTGGGATGTGCTCAATCATGCTGGAAGCCACAGGAATTGGGCACTGGGGGTAGATTCATCATCTTCAACATCAGCAGCTGATAAACTGTCGTCGGTGGCGCCAGCCTGGTTATCACGTCACCCATCACCCAACGAAAAGATAAAAAGGTCCGATGCCTTTCGAACGGCTCTGGTATTTCTTTTACAAGCAGAATTAATAACAATAGAATTTTGATTTAAAGCTTTCGTGACTGCAGGGATTCATATTCTTGGTTCTTTCGGTAAAGTCACGTAGAAGGGAAATAATAAATAATACAATTATAAAACAATAAAAATTCTCACGACGTTTCGACTGCAACATAAGCAATCGTCATCAGGTGTGAAATCCACGTGAACCAAAAATAACAATACAACTAATAACATTACGTTGCACTTAAAAAATGTGCAGTGTATGCGACGTTTAGTCACGAACAGCCGAGAAGATCTTTAAACGCGTCACAAAATCGTGAGCGGGATGTTTAAATCTCGCATTGATCGGCAAGGCATGTGCACTCGTCACCTAGACGGGCTCGCGTGTCCGTTATCTCACGAGTGAATTCCCCACAGCTTCAATTGCTCACAAACACACACACACAATCATTTTTTATAATACATAGGGGGAAAAATACCAATGTTTACAAAATACATTAACTTCTCCAAAACACACAAGTATGTGCTAAAATAACGGTATGATTAGGAAGCCACCGGAGCTATGCACTTTTAAATATAAATTGAAATCTCGTTTCTTGCTAACTGCTTTTCGTGTTGACTTTGTTGTCCTTCCCCCGCACCTCCGATGAGCGATGAGCGCGGTTGGCTACGTGCGGTGCGAAAGAAGTTCAACGTACATAGAATCACGCAGAGACCCATACACTCGCATAGAGACCCATAGCTTGTTTGTCCTTCCCCTGCACCTCCGACCATCACGGAGACAGAGAGCGGTCGGAAAGAGGAATATCGAGTGTGGCGTAGACTGCTCCACCTTCATGTGTAAAACGTGCCGAATAACACATTCCTGCGGAGGGAGCTGGTAGGAACGTTGGGTTGCTCGGTCAATGGCCAGGGTCAACGGCGGCGTGGTGTATCCGCAAAAATGCCGGACTGTGAGGGCCGGCACAAGCCGGCGTGAGTAGGTTAAACGTTGAGTTTTATAAGGGCATCACGGGGTGACCAGCCCCTCCCCACCCAGCCCCACCCACCCAGCCCCTCCCCACCCTCCCCACCCAGCCCCACCCCACCCAGCCCCTCCCTGCACAACGGACGGACGGACACAATAATCCCCTGTGGGCTGGTGTAACCAGGAGGTTCCTACCAGTATTAAACACGTCGTTTAAATCAATGTTACGCTACAGCGGTTCTCAACTCGAGCCCGACCCGCGGGATCACCGTCAACCAAGAGGTGGTGTTCGAGGGGACGACCTCGACGGCGTTTTGCGATTCAAAAGAAAACAAATTGCATTGGCAACAGTTCCGCAGAACACAGGTTGGGAACCACTCGTACAATGTCAACGGATAAGGGGGTGCCGGCCGCGGTGGCGAGATGTTAACTGCCTCGCCTGGTATACAAGAGGTTGTGGGTTCGATCGCAAGCCTGGTGGGTGCTCTACCCTGTGGCCACGAGTATTTCTCTCCGTGTCCTCTGGTTCTCCCCTCCACGTTTAGAAACGTGCGTGCAGAGTATTCGGCTGCTGTAAATGTCCACGTGATAAGTCACTTTGTTTGTTGAGCTGTCATTTGGGGTCAGGTCGCTGATAAAAAAGAGCTACATAGCTCAGTAGGCCTTACCTGCTAAAATAAAAAAAAATGCATTCATAGTTTAAAACGCCCCATCACATATAAAGACAGTGTTTTGATATGCATCGAAGTGGGCCATTTAAAAATAAAAAAAATGCTCAGCTTGAAACGCACGAAATTTGTACGCACTGTTATAACAGGCACAAATTACAGCGATTACAAATGAGGGGACGCTTTTCAGATACGTTTGCTTGGCTGCATTAATGCTGGAAAACAAAAGCCACTGCCAAGAAGGGCAGAAGTTGGATTCACTCCACACGCAAGCGCTGCTGTTACACATGCTCGTCCGTCACGAGTGAAGTGCACCGGAATCTATCAACCCCCTCCAACCCCCCCGGCTGAGATGCTCCCGTGAAAATAACAAAACGTGGAGCGGACCACTCATTATCATCAGCGTCGTCGTCGTCGTCGTCGTGATCCATGGGAAGATAGCCCCGTGGGTGTCCACGGCACATTTCGTAATTTGTTACCACTTCCACCTCTCTGGTGCCAATACGCTCAGGTGGTGCCCCATCTCTCTGGCACCAATCTCTTGATGTCGTCATGAAGCCATTCTCCGTGAGGTCTTCCTCTCAATCCGCTTGCTTACCTTCCCCCCCACACGAACAACGCCACGCCATGCCTGCCCGCTGAAATTGAGACCCTGGCAAACGATTCTAAGCGACCAGACGTACAGTAATGACACGGCATACTGCTCCATAGCTTGGCGCCAACGATCATGGTAACTGTACGCACATTAAACATTTATTAGTTTATACTCATGGTACTGAGCGCCTCTCCGAGCCACCAGTCGTGTCCGAATGTCGGCGCATTTGTTCATATGAAGAGTAATGCAAGCAATTGTCATTTTTGTTTGCTAGAACCGATGGCTCGCCTGCTATGTTAATCGAAATAGATATGAACGGCACCGTCGAGTAAGAAGGCTTGTGTGGATCGAACGCATTTCCTATAAATGTCCGACAGTCTGAAAAAGCTTATGGAAATGCATTACTGTAATAAAGTTTGTTGTGGTCGTGAAATGTTTGCTGGCATTTTCAAAGCCAGTTTTTTTTATGACACATACTGTAATCCTGTCAACGGGCACACCACAATTCTGTCGCCCATCTCCTCCAACAGGTCCGATAAGACGTGGATGATTAGACCAGATACACTTACAAACACGAGTTCGCTCTAAGTCGGAGGCACTTCTGCCAGCATTGGCATGAGAAACTAATCGGTGGACTGCTCCTTTACCTTCGTGGGGTTTTTGTGTTACCGTATGTGGTCAATGTATCGTCAACTACCAAGCAAACGGAAGTCCAACGTGTCCGATAAGACGTGGATTATTCGACCAAATATCCTTCCAACGCGAGTTCGCTCTGAATTGCAGGCACTTGGCTTGAGCAACTGACTGCTGCTGGACTGCCCCCGCTACCTTTGTGGATTTTTTGTTACCGTTATGTGTCCAATGCATGTATGATCAACTAACCAAACACATGTAAGCTGCACAATTAATTGACAAAGCGCTCTCCCTTGCGCGGCGCAACACATCACAGCGATGCAGATGGTCGCAATGCCCCGATTATGGTGGCGAATTCCACACGGCGCACTGAAAACACCACACCACCCCCCCAAAAAAAGCACGCAATATTGGCACTCATACCAGTAACACTCATTAGCAGCAACGCAAGGTGGTGTGTACAAGGTGTTCGCAACTGTGTGATGTGTGCGCGCAATTTTTTTCTAATACATTTTAAGACTTAACTATTATTTATCTTCATTTCTGAAAGACTTGCCGTGACACGTACGCGTGCGAGAGGACAGGGGCTCGTTAGCAATGCCGGAAGAGAAAAAATGGCATTTTTTTACGGTGGTTTAGCCAAGAAACAGATGTACATACAGTGCAAGAATAAAAAGAACGCTATGCAATGCAAAAGCCCCTTAGTGAAGCATTATGTGGCTCAAAAAAACTGGCCTGCCTTGCGCTCAAGATTTACTTCGATTCAATAACATCCACGACGTGTTTCCTAATATTGTACATACATATAGTGTGTGGAGTAATTTTAGAAGCAAACATGGCCCATGCAGAAAACGCAGCTGTGGCTTTCGGCAACAGGCCTATTATTACATTAATACCGTTTCAATTTATTTAATTTATTTTAGTCCGGTCCAAACTCTACATACAAAAGCCTACAGGACTGGTACTCAAAAGTGGATTTTTTAAAATATATATAATGTTTGCGATTTTATCTGTAACCGAATGAAAACGACGGTGAAAAATGGTCACCGGTTTGCCGCACACATAGCAACGTTTCGGCAAAAAACACTAATGCTTTCCCTCTTCAACTGAGAAGCAAAGACGTAATGTTCATCACGCTTGCCTTGCAACCCTGACGCCGCCGGTTCGACTCCAGCTCCCGGCAGGGTGTGTGAAACAGTGGGGAAGGAAGGGTTGATTCAATTTCCCTGCCTCTGTCCACCCCAGCAGTTGAATGTGCACTTTTTGTTGTATTGACTGTCAGATTGTGTGCGGCGGTGGGGTAACGTGTGGGTACGTCCCCGCCTCTTCCAACACGTCTGGGTCAGCATGGAAGAGGAGCAGAAGAGACGCACCCTTGAGATGTCCTCCCATAAGAGGCCCTGCCACCACCCAAGTGCTTCAAAAGCAGGCAGGGTTGCACATTTCCACCTTCTACCTAAACAGAGAACCAGACGTACCACACGGGGGATTAACTGGACCTACTGTAAAAATTTTGATTTAAAACTTTCGTGACTGCAGGGATTCATATTCTTGGTTTTTTCGGTAAAGTCACGTAGAAGGGAAATAATAAAATAATACAAATATAAAACAATAAAAATTCTCACGACGTTTCGACTGCAACACTAGCAATCATCATCAGGTGTGAAATCCACAGCAAGAAAATTTGAAAAAACGTCGTGAGAATTTTTATTGTTTTATATTTGTATTATTTTATTATTTCCCTTCTACGTGACTTTACCGAAAGAACCAAGAATATGGACCTACCGTAGCTATGTACGTATGTCGAACTTCTTTCGCACCGCACGTAGCCAACCGCGCTAATCGGAAGTGCGCGGTGGTGGTGGGGGAACAACAACAAACTAAACGAAGGTGTAGGAGACGAACCACCGATTAGCACGGTTGGCTGCGTGCGCTGCGAAAGAGGCTCAACATACACACGCACCTTTACATCATCCGCACCTAGCTTACACAACAAAGGCTCATTCCTAACAGCGTGCTTCAGCCGCACCGAACCTCACAAAAATAGTATTCAGGGCCTACCTTGGCTCCTCCCACCCTCAACCAGTATATATACAAATACTGTGTTCTTGGAATTTCTCTCACTTGATACAGCTATCATGCTGTGACGGTTCAACCTGAAGACGGAAGCTTATGTTGCCTCCGAAACGTCGTGATTTTTATTTTATTTTACTTTCATTAATTTGAATTTTTTACCTACGTGACTTTACCGAAAAAAAACCTAAGAATATGAATCCTTGCTGTCACGAAATTCAAATCTAGAATTAATACACACACGCGTTCACGCGAGGGGGCTCCCACCGACCAAGCGGAGTCGCACGCGCTCACCGTGCCAATCGGCGCACTCATTGCCAAGATTCCACGCGAAATAAATAGTCGACGGTTCCCGACTTTTGTAACTGTTAATGGATAATAGGAACGGTCCACCGGTAGTCGTTTAACAACCCGACTAAAAGCTCTGCTTGTTCACCCCCCCACACACCCACACACACACACCCCCCCTTCGCTCATTGGGAGCCAGTTTTGTTGCGGCGCTTCCCAGCACTTTGCCTCGCAACAGGAGCGCATCCAAGGCAGCGCTGCACATGCCAAGGAAAATTACTTTGCAAGATGCGTGGGGGTGGGGGGTAGATTCAGGCTTGGCAGCAAACGAGCGCCTCCAGACCGTGTGCTCCACATGAGAATCAACCCAGAATAACATTTTCCCAGCTCACCATCCACCAGCCCACCCGCACAGACTCAAGATTAATCAGTTTTCTTTTTCGTCAAGTTCAGCTCATGGCAAATTTAGCAAAACAACATCGAGGGTATTTTGAAATTGTAATTCCTTTGTTGTTCCGCTTTATATAACCTTTCCAGATAATCGCTTTATGAGCAAGCAAGAATTTGGAGGACTTCCAAAACATAAAGTCTAAAACAAAATTTTTATCTACAAAGCGTATGAAAGAAATAACTTTCTAAACCGACTAATCCTTAGCAGCGGTGCACAGGAGGTGATTAAAAGCGAAGAGTTTAATGCAACGGCAATGGGTCGTGTATTTTATTTCATTTCGCAAAAAATGAACAATATGCAATATGCAAATGCAGTGGTATACGTAACTCAATTTTCTGTTATATTGCACGTTCCAATTTCATGCAAAATAACATTCTACACCTGTAATGGGGGAAATGACGCAGACAAATGTGAAATAGAATGAGGTGAACGAGTGTTGCTCGAATAACATTTACAACACAGCACATAAATGTGGAGCATGAATACTGACAAATAATATACTGGATAAACCAAATTTAGTATCATTCAAATATTTTTTTTACTCACCACAAACTTGGCTATTTTCCAACAAACGTATCATATTTATAACACGACAACCTTTCAAATAATCTACTGCTGATGAAAATTAGCCAAAAAGGTTTACAACATAAGTAACGGTAATGATTATACATTATAAAGAGTTCATTAAAAAAGAAACCAGTCCTAGCTCCATCATGCAGAATTAAACATTTGGTTGTAAAGTAGCCCTCGCAGGATTCTCTAAACGTTAAATAAATGACCACCGAAGCCAAACACACGCGTGCGATTTCGGCTCGCGTTGAGCAGCCAACACAATTTGCGTCTGTGACTGAATCTGTAACCAAAGGGCCCCCCACTCGTGCACGGGACCAGCGTTACATTTACCAAGCTGAGAAAGGCTTTGTTCCAACCCACCTGCTGCACCACCAAGTCGCGCCTGCCACGTCGCTCAATCGTTCCCGGACGGTCGCTATTTACACGCTTTCATTTAACTCACTCTGTCTGTTTGTTGTTGTTGTACCCTCAAATCTTGTAACTCAATTTTAACCCACTTCCCAATGTGGTATCGACAGCAAACTTGGTATACGTATGTCATACTGATGACAATAATATATTCTATCATAAAAAATATATATATCTTCTTGGTTCTTTCGGTAAAGTCACGTAGAAGGGAAATAATAAAATAATAAAAATAAAACATAATAAAATAATTCTCACGACGTTTCCGCCACAACGCAAGCAGCCGTCCTCAGGTGAAGAACAGGTCTGTCTTTCCCTTCTATGTGACTTAACCGAAAAAACCAAGAAGATGAATCCCTGCAGTCACGAAAGCTTTAAATCGAAATATATATTTTTAAACAATCTTTTTTAAAGGTTAGGTTTCGGCTTGGGTCTAATTGTCCACGCTCAACTGACGTTGGCTGTAATTGGCCACGGTCACTTACATTATGGCAAGCTTCTGGGCCACTTCCTGGAGTCGTGGAGTTCTTCCATTCCTAGTACATTTCATAAAAGCGTGTTTTTTTAAAGTTTTTAAAAAAATATTACTTATACATACAGCATCGTGATTTTTTTAATGCTTGATACGAGTACGGCTACCAATTAAGGCTTCGGAATAACACCAGAGTGGAATGAATGGCCAACGGGGAAGGAGTTGCGACACGGCTTAACAACAAGCATCAAAGTTGGCCAAATTGTTTATTATCACCGATTCACAGGAATGACTAGAAAAGAAGATTACACAGGCTGTCCCCCATCCCTCCCTGTGTAATTATAGTGCGACAGATGATTCACTGTGCCCCGACTACTACTAGTAGCCTGTTATTGCACCAAAGGACAATACACCACTCGAACACGATTACAGACAAGCCCACAACACAGCGTTGCACAACCGCACAGCTCTTGAAACAAACACAATTCAATCTCCTTCAGGGAAAATGCAGTCGTCTTATCTGGAAGGTCAGATGGAATTTGAAAAAAAACCAGGTAAATTCGAAGTGGAGCAGCAAACACTTGCAATTATTCACAGTTTAGTTAACGGTAGCAATCCCTCAAAGCATTCCACGCGGACAACAGGCCTATTACGTGTAAGTGCAACCGTCTTCAAAACCATTGGAGTAGACTACAATAACTCCGATTGTCCTCTACGTGTTGGATCAACAGAAACAAAAGTTGTTTAAATTGTACAACAGTGGCTTACAGGCACGCTCGCGCACACACACACACACACAAACATTTACACGCGCGCGCACAAAGAAAACGACACACACAGACACAATGGGCCTTATAAATCATACAAACTCATATCAGCTTTACAGCCTCATCTTCCTCTTGGGAATTTCCAAGCAGCAGCAGCTGCCAAACCAACGGTGCGTGCAAGGAAGCCAGACAAGCCCACGTGAAACACAGCCACCTTTAAAGCAGTCTTGCACCTTTACAGTCAAGGTCTCACCTCGTCTGCATAGGCAGCCCGCTGGGGTATAATACAGAAAGGGCAAGACGGAACACACAAAGGGGGCAAATGATAACGAACAATAGTTCCCCTAATACGATGTGTCGCGGTTTCAATTAATCAAACTCGGCTGCAAGGTACGGATAGAAGTTGCCACACGGCCAGGCTAGTTAAAGTACATTCAATCAATGTTATTTTCAAGATTTACATTGACCAAGGTTGTATTAATCAATAGGGTAAATCACATGGAACCCTATACCCTTTCGCATGACTATTGGGGTCAGCTATTATTGATTGTAAAATGAGAAAACCAGTGACTACATTCGGACCAAAATAGCTCGGTTGAGAGGAAATTATTGAAACTGTATACGTGGAGAAATTATGAACAATATTTTGCTGGTTTACCAAAGACCAGTAAACATTGCCATCATGTTAAAATACAATATAGTACGTATGTTTCAACATCGGTTACTTAGAAACTATAGAAATAAAACGAGTCAATTACATTTAAATTGGCATGCAAATACATTATTAAAAGTATTAAAATAGTTTAGCACATGCTGGACATGTAATATTTTGTCAATCTAATTATCTTTGGCCCTATTTCTTCCTATTAACTGGAATTTTCCCAAAATGCATTGTAAAGCAGCTTCCTGATACAATCTTTTCACAGATAAATAACCACGTGGTAATTTATTCCGAACACCCATGTTTATCCACACACGGAGCAGAGACACACACATATTTTTTTTTACCAGGTAATGCCCACTGAGCTATATAGCTCTTTTTCAGAAGCAACCTGGCCACAAATAATATCTCAACGAAGTGGCTTATCATGTGGAAATTTATAGCAGGCAAATACACTAAATGTATGTTTCTAAATGTGGAGAGAAAATCCGCAGGACCAGGAGAAAAAAATCCATGCGACCACAGGGATAACATGCAATCTCCAAATATGCAGGCGTCAAGGTCGGGATCAAACCCAAAACCTCCTGCATACCAAGCAAGGTAGTTAACATCTCACCACCGTAGACAAGGAAATACAGACAAAAAAGACAGACACATGAAGCCAGGGAAACACTTATCATTTTCTGTAAGTGGGCTTGGGCAGGACACATCACGAGTCCTTTGTGTGTCTCCATCTTTGTATATTTCCATGTCTGTGTATCTCTGT